CATATGAAATGAAAATCAAGGAATTGCAAGACCTCTTATAGCTGGGTCGGATTAGTCTCCATCCTATCTTACATCAAACATCTTAGGTAGGGCTATCTTCACATTTTTCCCGTCGGTATCAACTACAAGGTTACCCTTTAAACATGTGAATTGAAGAAGATAATTGTTGATTGTTAATCCATCATCTTAAATCAATGAATAAATATATTTCTAAACCAAATTACATTAGTATAACGTGTTAACGAAATAATATATTAATTAACATGTTAATGTTATGACTACAATGAACATCACTGATTAAAAAATATAGAAAATAGATGATTCGACCCTTCTATTTTTGGTGTCTAAACGGGAAAGCCCTATGAAGATGACTCATTCAATATATGTCAATGGTACAGCTTCCGTTGGAATGATTCCAACGGAAATTCCAACGAAAATATTTCATTGGAATGTATTTTTCATTGGAATTTTAGATGGAATTTGATGATTCCAACGGCTATATTTCCAACGGTTTTTGACCGTAAGAATTTCCATTGAAATATGCAATTTCCGTTGGAATTTTTATTTCCACCACCATTGGAATCGTCAGAATCCAACGAGAATTCCAATGGAAAATTCATTCCAGCGGAACATTTTTGTTGGAATAATTCCAACGGAACTAATAACATTTAAATATCCATTGGAATTACCGTTGGGATTATATTGGAATATATTTCCGTGGGAAATTCATCATTTTCTTGCTGTGTGTGTGTTGTGCATCGTACGGGTTATGTAATAGTATATATATATATATATATAAAGAGAGAGCCTATTTACCAAAAATAGTGACAAAAAAAGTCAATCAGCAATTATTATATTATATTTTTGGCAGTTATTGAATTTTCTTTTGTTCGCTTATATTTTTAAAGCTCGACCGCAAGTGTACGGCTTCGCTCGTAGTATGTGGCAAGCAAGGTCGTATCCCAAGAGACCAAATAATTATTATACCAATTACTAGATTATGATAGTGTTGATTTTATTTAGATGACCGAATATGAGATGGATTAACTAAACTACGAAATAAATCAACGCAAATAAAGCAAGAATAAGAAAACAACTAGAAAAACACTTAAGAAGAATATATGGGAATGGTAGATTCTAAGACTATGGGTTCAATTAACAGTTGGGTTCCTTCAAATTTATCACAACTAACTATTTTCCTTATCTACCCTATAAGATGATCGCAATTTTAGCCTATCGTCCCTCTCGAGATCGATAAAACCGTAGATTAAATCACATATATTAGCGTCTCCACTCAACACATGCAATTCAACTCCAATTAGAACAAAAGATCTAATATCCTCACAACGACCTACTAATATCTCGATTCAAGCAAGTAAATTGTGTCAAATATTAAGGACCTAATATTGAACTCATCTCTCGAATTATGAACAATATTGTCAAACATGTAAAAGAATTGATCAAGTTCTAAACATGAAATAAGAACAAAATATTTGAATAGGGTTCAAAAGAAAACAATCAACTATGATAAATCATCCAAAATCCCAACATATTAATCTACTACCA